GGCAAGCATACGAAAGTAACGACTCCTTTTCATAACATTAAGCATCATATAGATATGAAATAATGATTATTTACCATAGGTGCTTACCTTCTGTGAAATTTTTTCTATGCAGGTAATTCTAAGAATGCTTGCCAATATAGACTGCAGCAGGCAAATACAACTTGAGGCATGAACAGATGACTTCAGATTATCATGAAAGATTGTCTATTCTTAAGCATAGGGAGATGTAGGCAAACTGCAATGTTTATAATAGCTATGATAATAACATGCTTTAAATGGTCTATTAAAAGTATGTATGATACCTGTATACACTAATTAAATTCTGATTTTCAGAGCATGGATGCATTTAAATTGAAAATAATACTACAAAGACATGATATAACCATTTCATATAATATGATATGAATAATTACGGGTTGAATGACCGATAAAATGAAAGTGGACAAAGTATAAAATGTCCTGTGGTAATTCCAGTTAACGGTAGTCTTTATAAATAATGACTGGTTATACGGTTGAGTATTTCCTCTTGTTACACTTACGGTTTTTGAGTTATTGTACAGTTGACTGTCCAACATTTGTATAATTGGACAATTCTAAAATGATTTTGGTTTGATGGAAGTCTTACGTTTTTGTTTGTAATATATTGGTCCGGAGGCTGTGACAACACATGATCCTCGATCACATCTTATATAGCAGCACTATAGTCGTACACATTTTCTGCAGGTCTTCAATATTGGAAATTTCAAAGCGGCTGCAATCTTGGTTAAACAACCTTCCTTTCTAGTTCTAAAGTGTTGGTTGATGAAACAGATTTATATTTGGATCCGTTCTAGTACAATTATGACACTATTTTATATAAGCTAGTTCTCGACTGACTACTAAACTTGTGTTCATAGAGCGAAGCGTTAAAATACAAGCGGATTCCAGTTAATATTGTATAGTGGTTCCAAATAGTTTCTCCGTAATTTATCACAAATTATAGAGGTATATAGATCCATCATGAGATACCAAGACTATTAATTTCTAATGCCAGTTCATGATTTTCAATAAATATAAGAAATATAAATGCCTACAAAAAAGTTACTGTTTACCAATCATTGGTTACATTTGTTATTGTGTTATACAATCCACCCTCAATACCAATCCAGTTTTATGATTTTCTTTAAAAAGAACAAATATGGCCACTTTTTTATCCAGGCACAGAATTTGTGGTACACGTGATCAAGTTTCTTCTGATTTCTGTCTAAAACCTTTACATGATTTTCAATAAAAAAAAGAAGAAATATTGACACAATTTTAGTTATACGATCTATCCACCATTTTCTACATAAGGAAATGCCTATACCAAGTCAGGAATATGACAGTTGTTTTCCATTCGTTTGATGTGTTTGAGCTTTTGATTTTGCCATTTGATAAGGAACTTTCCGTTTTGAATTTTCCTTAAAGTTCTGCATTTTTTGTTATTTTACTTTTTACCAAGCCACATCTTTCTTGTACCTGTACCAGTTTTTCAATAAAAAGAAGAAATATTAACACTCAAATTTAAGTTCGCAAAAATTGTACGCGTATCTTGCTCTTATCTTATTGATAACAATCCCAGATTCAAGGACCACTGATTTGCGGTACTACCGGTGTATGATTTTCAGGAAAAAAGAAATTATTAATTAATGCTAACAAAAATGTATTTAATAACTGAATGCTAACAAAAATGTAAGAACTGTAAACATGAATTGCAATACAACCCACATTGAGATAACAAAACCAAGCATTGTTTCCTAATATCAGCACATGATTGTTGCTAGCGCAATTGTTGACAAAAAATTAACCCTCACATGGAGCATTTGCGGGAGACCTTACTATTTAAAAAAAATGTAACCTTCTAACCCACTTAGACGAGGATATGGCAAAAAAACCCAAAAACTACCAAAAGACAAACAACAGTTTACAAACCATAACATAGAAAACTAAAGACTGAGCATTATGAGCCCCATCAAAAACAGGGGATGGTATCAGGTGATTCGGAAGGGTAAGCAGATCCTGTGCCACACGTGATACCCGTCGTGTTACTCATGTAAGTGCAATTTGCGGACAAGTACCAATTTGATGATGTCACATTCGAAAAAAAGAGGACGTGATTGTGGTTACGACAATTGGAACATATCCGTCATTATCTGTGAAGTAATGGTCAAACAACTCGTGATGACGTCTATAAAAATTTCGCAGGGATGACAAAAAAAATCACCACTTCGGAACCCTTGGTTTAACAGCTTCCTTATTAGCGGGAATCCTCTATCAAGCAAATTATGATATGAAAAAAACTGTTGCCGGGAGCAGAGATGCAAATCAATGCTTCAAAAAGATCAATCTTTTATCTTTTTGTGAATTTGTTTCGGTGGAATTTATGCTTATGCATATTAAGGATCCAAATGCATTTGCAACTGCGATAATCTACTGTTATGTGAAAATTTGCCTTTAATTTAAAGATTTACAAATATCTCGAAACTCCATTCTATAATTATATAAAATATTAAACATGTATATTAGATACAAAAAATCTATAAGTATGCACCTAGATGTAAACAATTCAAATATACCAACTTGGCCATTGTTTTCTTCTCTAATAAAGAGTTCCTTATCCTTTGTTTAATTACAACTGGTATCAGCCTGTATTTCATAGATTATCAGTTTTATTTTCCGACTCAAATTATTTGGTTATAAGTTTTTTATTTGATTATTAGCAAACTAAATATTGTTCTGATTCAAGCAAGGATGTATATTACTAACTTACTTTCTAATTCCTTGATTCAGTGGATTTTCTCAAGTAAATAACATCTTTGAGATTTAATGTGCTATATATCAGTTACTTTCACATTACATTAAAATATAATTTGTGAACTGTTTTAACATTAATTGTGTCTTATTTATGATTATTCACATTCAATAAATAAATGATCCGTGACCAATTGGATTGAGCTGGCCAGTCTATTGCATTGTGACGTTCTGAAGTAGGAAGTTCAAGTGTTTCAAGTGATTTAAATTTAAACTGGGACATAGTGTTATACTTGGTCCCAACTATAAAACAGTATGCATTGTTAACTAAAACGATCAAGTTACAGCAATGCATATCATTTTAAGATTCTTTTGATATAAAATAGTTTACCATCAGCATAATTTAAGGTTATCGGAAGGACGAACAGATTCAGTTCAAGGAGAATAAAAATCGGAAGTACTAAAGTACTCAATTTTTTACATGGTATATACATGCGCTAGATATCACAATAACTCCGATGATGATTTTAATTTTATTTGAACTTTTAAGCATTGTTCAGGATTGTTTCAAAGAGCGAAAATGCAAACATTGTCTTTCAATAAAGAAAAATTGTGCACAAAGGTTCAGTTACATTTAATTATAGTGATTCATGACTGAAAATTACATCACCAAAATATCAGATTAATTTAAATGACAATATTAAACACTAATATAAAAAAATATAGTTGATGACAATTTAAAACAAAATCCTCAAAGTGCAATTACTGGCATTCAACTTTATGTATAGATATAGCTTTTTACATTAGACATCAAACATTTACTTAAGTTAAGCAACCAACAATCAATCAATCTACAACTACTACGACCTTGGCTACCGATGAGGGTTTCGCATGGTCGTGAATTAAACATATGAAGTCACTTGAGAAGAGTTTTTTTTTACTTGAAATGCATAGCATCAGTAACTTAAGAATAGTTGTCATAGAAATAAAGAAGAAAAGATTACTGTAGTGGTTAACTTATTTGTTAGATTCTTCTATGAGGCGGAATTAGTTGCAAAATTCATGCCAAGGAGCAAGTGGCCAAAACTCTCAAAATTATTTTTTTACATTCTTAAACGTTAGTTTTTGCCTTTTGTTTATTTCAAAGACAAGTCTATCGGAATAGTGTTTGGTATGCTTAAATTCAGAAATTGGAATATAGTGCTAAAATTTAGGGGCATAGGTGCCTTATTGTTTCTTCTGACTTTTTGGTGTTTAATCGTACCACTATTTATCCTTTTTTTACTGATGGATTCTAATTGTGCCTAGTGTATCCTGGGACAATTATACTAAATTTTGGTATAATAGTACCAGGTGTATCTCTTTGATCATGGCAATGTTTGCCATCTTTTATCAGCCGTTCTTGGTTGCTTCTATTGTTGGACATTTGTATTATAGGCAGTAAAAACAATGCAATACAATAAAAAAAATAATAATAAACCAGACATCATTTGTTTTTTTTATTATATTAAAACATTTCAATATAGAATTTATAATTTCTAAGGAAAAAAAGTAAAACATCAAAAATGCCGAACTCCAAGGAAAATTCAAACGGAAAGTCCCTTAACAATTGGCAAAATCAAAAGCTCAAACACATCAAACGAATGCTAAACAACTGTCATATTCCTGACTTGGTACAGTCATTTACTGATGTTGAAAATGGTGGATTAAACCTGGTTTTAAAGCTAGCTAAACCTCTCACTTGTATGACAGTCGCATAAAATTCCATTATATTGAAAACAATGTGTGAACAAAACAAAAGACATAATAGGTAAACATGTCAAAAATAGAGGAACAGCAGTCATTATTATGTTATAATCTCAATCACCATAACTTGCTGTCAGACGAAGTTCGTTCCTTAAAGTAGCACCATCTATCATTGAACAAGAACAATTACTTAATTTCAACATTAATAATACATATCTAGTTTAATTATTTCGACGCATAGGTAAGTACAGTTTTACTATAAGCTAATTAAAAACAAATATTTCTTTTTTATAATGCAACTTTAGAATTTAATTAAATCTAAACAAATCCACAAAATATCAGCAAACATCAAAGAAGCATAGATTGATAGTATAATCAAAGTAGCAAAATGAAGAAAAATAGAGATTTCATAATAGTAAAATGTATAAAAAAAAATATGGATTTCCGGAAATGTTTAACAACACTAGCTAATTAAACATAAAAAAAATCCGTAAACTACTCAACTACTAGTATGAATAATAGGCAATCTTAAGATGATATCCTGATATTAAAAAAAAAGTTGATATGAACAGTGTGACCAAGCGAAATATGTACATACATTAGATTATAGCCACTTCAATATACAATATTTTTTCAAAAAAGACTTGCACTAACTAGTTTTAAGGAAGACAAATATGAATATAGAAATGAAAATACTAAACTATTTGTTAATCATATATAAATTGCATATATGTTTATCACATTGCTTTTAACATTTCTTTTAAAAAGGGCATTTAACTTTAATTCATTGACATTAAAAATTCCAAATCCTCAGGACGTATTTTCCGTTTTAAGTTACTATCACATTCAAGATACAATGTTTCACATTTAGATAAAACATTATGAGAACATGTGTATAAGGAATTCATTTTAGGTTTATTAGAAAGAAAGGTTTCATTTTTCTTAGAGATTCTTTAATTAAATATCATATTTCTCTTATATTTCAACATGGAATGTCACATTTCAAAGTTTGGTATTTCTTCGATATTCTAAGTTAGAATGTCACATTTCAAAGTTTTGTGTTTCCTTGAGCTTTTGTCGTCTGTTTCACGTCACACTCCTCATCAACAAAAAAGCTTGGTTTAACTCCGTTTTCTTTGCCATCTACTATTGTGCTGACGGAATCGATGCTGCTAAAGGTTTTATATGGAACATCAATTGTCTCGTTGTCCTTTAAAAAAGTAGAAGAAATAGTACAGTATTTATATGTCAACGGCAGATTTATAAAAGGTATAGTTTCTATATTAGCAAATCAATACAATATTATTCAGCTAGCTTTCAGTAGCTGTAACCATTCTGTAAAAGTCATCAAACATCATCTCTAACACAAGACTCGCCATCGTTTAAGAACCTTATTGCTCATTTTACATTGGTCAGTATTAAATGGTGTTTCTGGTAATTTTAAAGTCTTATTGTTTAATGACTTTTCAGGTCATCTTACAGAGATCATTGTTTTGTGAACTAATATGCGTATTTTATCTTACCATATACTGTTTTATAATATTTGTGTCTTGTCTTATCTTTAATGCTGCTTCTGATCTAATATATATGTATCAATGAAACTGGAAATTATTTTACAACACGTGTATAGGTAAGCTATGGACCTTATTTTGTTTCTATATATGTACCTCGTTGTGAGACTTCTTTTCACTTCCTGGAAGTAAATCATCGATATATTTCAGCTCATGATTTGTGTAAACACACTCCAGCATTTTTCGCACTATTCCAGTAGCTAACACCTACAACAAGTATAAAATAAATAATAATTGAAATTCATTATAGTACTAATTATTTCATGTCTGTGTATGTTAAGCAGATTTAGAATTATACATATACATGGGCATGCATGTTAATAATGTAATATTTAAACAGATTAGCGACAGAACTCTTTTTCATACTACAATTGGACACAACGGGTTTGTATGTTAACAATACTTTAAATAGATTTCTGTGAGGGCTCTTTTTATATATGTAAACGACATAGATTTGAAGAGCATTCAAAAAGACAAAATACAGACCTTAATTGGTATCTGTTTACATAATAACACACTTATTCTTGGTAAGTTATGGAAAGTTTTAATTTCCACCGAATTTATTGAATCAAACTCACCAAAAGTGGAAAGGCAATGGAAATAGCTTTTATGCTCTTCACGACCCACAATAGCACCAAACAGATTATCTGGATAATGGTAAACACATGAATTCTCCATAACTGTACGTGACGAATGTATGGCACATCTGGTTGATATTTACGTGGTTGCAGGAACAAGATCAGACGATCCACAAACTAAAAAAAACCCAGAAAAACGGTTGTAATTGAATATCAAAATTTTAGATTGCATCATTCTTTATTACTTTTTACTGTACATTTCGTTATTGGATATAAATGTGAAATTGATGGCAATAAACAAATGATATGAAAGGGGTGACACTAGATTTAATTACATATATTAAGTTAAAATTAAAGAACTGATAACTGAACTGTTAGGAGAGTAATGGATCATTTGTATGATGGTATGATGTAGTTTGAAAACTTTCATCTGCAGTTGTCTGCATTTAATATTGTTTCTTTTCAAATTTTGTACTTTTGATGTCCCCATTATCATTTAGTGTGCATGCTGTTTATTTTCAATAAAAGCTAGGACTATCAACGTTAGTATAATAGTCCAAGATATAACATTGATGCGGACAGGTTTGAGTCGGTGCAAATAAGTTGTATCACTTAAAAAAAACAAGATACGAGAATCAGTTTAACTGTTAAACTATTATCAAACATATGAACTACAATATAACTGACTTATCATTAAAACGACATGTTTCTTTAACACTTTTCATGACTAATAGTTATGACATGTTTAAAAATAAGGAAATGTGGTATGAATGCTAGTGAGACAACTATCGATCAAAGAGAAAACAGACGAGAAATGTTAATATTTACCCATCTACCGTTGGGACTTATACAAAAGGCACAGATAGAAACTATGGTAAACTGAATATGTAAAAATCAAATGAGGATCAACAATCGCATTTAAGTCAATATCATTCAACCAAAAATAACCATGACGACTACTGATGTACAGTCCTGGCTTGGGACAAGTATGAGTCCAAAATAAGTTTGTAAATAATCTGCAGAAGGATTACAGAAATCTGAAGAAGAAAAACCACTCAATCCCCCCAATCACCCTAATTTGGAATTAGAATAATCTCCGCAAAACAATGCAGTAAACTGGGCATGTGATCGTCAAATCAGTACATTTGACAACATGTAAAGAATTTATGGAAAAGAATCTCCGAACTGAAAGTCCTCAAATTACAATTTACCAGCAGCGGCACCGTCCCTATGGCAGTAATATAAAAGTACTGAACAATTTACCAGCCGCGGCACCGTCCCTATGGAAGTAATATAAAGGTTGTATCAGAATCAAAACAATTAAAAGGTAAAACAAGAACGACCAAAGGCGTCATGGAATAACTTTACCTGAGGTATTTGTAACCTTAGTTTTAGCCCTATTACACATATAGACTGAACATTCATTACCTTATTTGCTAGAAGATACAATACACAGACTTTAAATACTAAACTATTTCCTGACACTTACCTTCTATCTTAAAGGTGGCGGAAAATTATATTTTCCTTTTTCAGAATTTGAAATAAGAGTATTTACTTCCCCCGCCATTTATTTAGAAAAGCGTTAAGCCAATTATTATACAAGTCGGCTAAGTGTAGAAAAAAGTCTTTTTGTAGAAAAAAATCTGATATACATATGATTCACTGAAATCAGTGTGATACGATTTTATTTTATATATAGTATAATTAAGACTTACTTGTTGTCCCCGCAATGCTGAAAATCCCATAAAGAAAAAGACCCCATATAACACAGGCATTGGTATAATCTACAAAAAAAACAATCAAAATGAAAAACATTCTTAAAAGTTTATTTAGTAAAATCAAAAAAGTATTTATCTTACATAACAATAAAAAATATCTATACACATACAAACCTATAGTTCCATATTGTACAATGTTGCCAATAATCATATTCATAATGTGATGTAAAGCAGTACTTAAAATCATTCATTTAATGTTTCCTTCACTCGCCTGTAAAACTCAAGAATCAAATAAGTTGTTTTCACTCTATGTAATATTAGTACAAGGTTGTACTGATTTACATACATATTTCTGCATATGTACCTAACAAATTGATTTCATATGAAGAAAATCAATATTTGTAGAAAATCAAAAGGATGAAATAAGGGTTTCAAAAACCTACCCTAAGAACACTGGTTATGAGTACGGCCAAACCACTTAGTATACCAATAAATAAAGCTGTCACTCTCTGTTCTCTGTATAAAAATGTAAACAAATATTAGGAGAACGATGTCGATATATAAATTAAAAAAAAAACAAAATAGAGTTAACACTATTTATATTTATGAACGTTTCGGCAATAAAGTGTATCGACAGATTGTAGGTATTCATATGGGTACCAATTGTTCCCCTTGAATAACAGACATGTTCCTGTACTATTATGAATCAGTTTATGGCCAAACTCAGTAAAGACCCGTCTAAATTCCATTAAATTGATAAATTCAACAACACTTACCATTATCTTGATGATATTTTTTCGTTAAATAATCAAGAATTCTCTAAATATACTGCCGAAATTTACCCACAGGAACTTACCTTAAATATATCAAATATTAACAGCAATAAGTGTCCTTTCCTAGATTTAGACATTTCAGTTTTACACCAGAAACTCTACACCAAAATTCACGAGAAAAGGAATGATTTTTCTTTCCCTATTGTTAATTTTCGTTTTTTGGACGGTGATGTTCTTCTGGCACCATCTTACGGTGTTTAACTCGTTCGTTATGCCCGTGTCTGTAGTGACGTTTTGGATTTCAATGAGCGCAATCTATGTATTACTGGTAAATTATAAAGTCATGGATTTCGTTACCACAATTTACATAAAACCTTTACTAAATTCTACCATAGATACAAAGATTTGGTTTGCAAGTTTGGATCTTTATGTACCTCTAGAAAACTTATTTCAAACGGAATAGCACATCCTAAATTTTACGGTGATGTTGTTAACCGAGCCCGGAAATTTAGATACGGTCCTGGTAAACTTATCAATCCTTTAAATAAACTTATTCTAAAAGGTTACCTATTCAACACTATAATTAAATATTAGAATAATATTTTATTGGAATAAATATTGATTTTGTTATCAGTATATTAAAACCATACTAAATATAACACATATGTAATTTCACGGTACTACAATCTGTCGATACCTATATTTTGGCATTCCACAAGGTCATGTTTTTCTCTGACTGTTTATGACGTCTAAATCCATTAGATATTGGATGTGTACTGATTGATATTTTAGTCTTAGATACAAGATTTTTTATATTAGTTGTTTTTGGCTTTGAACTAGCTGTCAGTAACTGCGAGTACTCTCAGATCTGTACTTAGTGTCTTTCTTGTTGTTAGGGATGAGGGATGAGGGATGGATATATAACCTGCCACGTCCTGTCTGTGTTTTTGTTTGATGTTTTTCTTTGTATCGATCTGATGAGTTAAGCCTTTTTCAACTGATTTGTATAGTTTGTTCTTATGTTGTGCTTTCACACCACTGTCCCAGGTTAGGGGAGGGTTGAGCGCTCACAAACATATTTAACCCCGCCACATTCTTTATGTGCCTATCTTAAGTCAGGAGCCTGTAGTTCAGTGGTTGTCTTTGGTTCACGTCTGTCATATTTGTTTTTCGTAAATTGTTTTGTTATAAATAAGGCCATTAGTTTTCTCATTTGAATTGTTTCATTTTTTATGTCGGGGCCTTTTAAAGCCGACTATACGGTATGGGTTTTTCTCATTGTTGGAGGCCGTAAGGTTGCCTATTATTGCTTACATCCACTTTATTTAAACTTTGGTGGAACTGACATTATCAAGATGCTTGATTTCTTGATTGACAACATATTTGTTACGTTTGGAGGACGTGTTTTTCAACAGACTGTCGGAATTCCAATGGGAACCAATTGTGCCCCTCTTCTTGCCGACTTGTTTCTTTATTATTATGAGGCTGACTTCATACAGGAGCTTCTTAGGAAGAGAGATAAGAAGTTAGCAATATCCTTTAACTCTACGTTCCGCTATATAGATGATGTTCTCTCACTAAATAATACAAAATTTGGTGACTATGTTGAACGAATCTATCCCATCGAACTAGAGATAAAGGATACTACAGATACAGTTAAGTCTGCCTCATATCTTGACTTACATCTAGAAATTGACAATGAGGGTCGGTTGAAAACAAAACTTTACGACAAAAGAGATGATTTCAGCTTCCCAATTGTGAACTTTCCATTTCTATGTAGCAACATTCCAGCAGCGCCTGCATACGGAGTATATATCTCCCAATTGATACATAATTCCCGGGCTTGTGTTTCCTATCATGATTTCCTTGATAGAGGATTGCTGCTCACAAGGAAGCTATTAAACCAAGAGTTCCAAATGGTGAAGTTGAAGTCATCCCTTCGTAAATTTTACGGACGCCATCACGAGTTGGTTGACCGTTATGGAATAACCGTTTCACAGATGATATCGGATATGTTCCTTATGTCGTAACTACAATACCTTTCCCTTTTCACGAATGTGACCTACCGAATTAGACTATTTACCGGATTTGTAATAACATAAGCAACTCGACGGGTGCCACATGTGGAGCAGGATCTGCTTACCCTTCCGGAGCACCTGAGATCACCCCCAGTTTTTGGTGGGGTTCGTGTTGCTTAGTCTTTAGTTTTCTATGTTGTGTCATCTGTACTATTATTTGTCTGTTTGTCTTTTTATTTTTGGCCATGACGTTGTCAGTTTGTTTTCGTTCTGTGAGTTTGACTGTCCCTCTGGTATCTTTCGTCCCCCTTTGTCTTATTGGCAATCATACAACATCTCCTTACTTTTATAACAATGTGTGATGATTTTTTTCATTTTGTAAAATGAAACATGCAATGAAAAGTTATCGAGAAAACAGGTAGAACTGAATGATATTTTATTGTTACATGTAACAATACTCTATCAATGGGGCATACAACTGAGACATATACGATTACTCTATCACTAGGGCAAACAACTGAGACAATTCAACATGTCATTCCATACTCAATCAAGCAGTACACTATTGTGGTAGCGTAAAAATTCAAATGTAAAAATAACAATACATTTAGCAATGAGAGCACTGAACTTGTGGAATTAGCTATAATATAAAAATTTGATTAAGATTTCTTACCTGACTCCCAAAAACACTGGTTTTTCGCCAGGAGCTGTACATTCAGATTCTTTCTGTAGACTTTGGACATGAGCAAGTGCAGACACAGTGGCAGCTACGTACCATGGAAGACCGAGCAATGAATGAATACCCACAGTAATGGCAACTATAAACATATCTAAATGGTAACCAACCCCTTTCTGAAAAAAATACAAAATACCTTAATTTACCACAAAATGTGTATCATGAACAAATATTAGTTCAATTTCATTGCAACAGATAAGCATGAATTGAATTCATATATATTACTTTTATGATTTGTTTGTGCAACTTTGAGGACCAATTCAGCAGATCAACAAAAATCCAAGGTGAAATTTATTTGTTAACTAATGTGTAATTGAGTATACATCAATCAAATTTTAACTATTCCTGTTATTTGTAATGTGGTTCAATTCATCTTGAAAACAGGAGCTCACCTGTAATTTATGTTCTTTTCTATTGACAATCACAGCAGTAATCTGTTGATCTAAAAAGACTAAGATTGTTGAAAGGGCGGCAGGAACGCTAGCAGCCAAATACAACCACCACGGGTTCTTTTCACTAAACGGACTGATGATCCATCCACGACCTGCTCTTGTTGGCTATACAAAAAATATATTTAAAACGATTTTTATTTATGTATTTGCGAACATTTCTGATTCATTATTACACATTTTTGTATTTTTCCATTTTATAATTTTAGATTGTTAAACGAAGACCACATCTATATTGCTATAAATTTCCAATTAACTATTTAGCTCTTAGACTTGTCAATCAATGCAAAATTTAACTGATTCTGTAAGAGTAAAGGTCTTTTTTTCATAATAGTGTAGTGCCTACAAAGTTATGGTTGTGGTACTTCTTGTGTTTTGTATTTTTAGTATCTATATATACTTCCATATTCAATTTAACTCATAAGGTACAAATTGATCCGCAATGAGGATGATCGTACATGATGACTATACTCTTTGGTCTTAGCCATAATACTGTTCTCTTTTCCTTGATTGTGACATCACCGAATGACACTTATCACAGAATCTGTACTTACAACCAACAACACGACGGGTGCCACATTAAGCGCAGGATCTTCGTATATTTCCGAAGCACTCTAGATCCCCCATTTTTTTTTATTTGGTTCATGTTACTAATTGTTTATTTATTAATGTAGAGTTTTGTGGGCTTCTGTATGTCTTTTCGTCGGTTTTCGTTTTTCTTCGACTTATGAATTTTGGATGTCCTTTTTGTATCTTCCTCCTCTTTTTTACCCGATGATTTAATCTTCAGGTTGCATTACAGATAAAGATTGTTTATTTGTTTTGCAACAATTTAGTAAACATATAGACATACCTTGAATTCACTTGGTACAGTTAGTTTTGGTGTCGGGAGACCCAGGAAATAATCAAGCAACACCATGGCAACAATGGCTATCAACACACTGAAGTCACTTACTCTTTGACGAATCTACAATGGAAATGACACCTATGTAAAACTTCTACTAAATTTAATAAAGTTTAAGTATGGATTATAATTAATTTTCTTAGAAGAACATGTCAATTGAAGTTAATACGGATTCGTTTCGTTTGCATTCAACTAATGCTCATAATATTATTATTCTTTTATTGTTCACGTATCTATTGACAAACACATACAGATTAGTGTATGATAAAAAGATAGAAGGAAATAACAAATGAACTGAACCTCTGAAGCTAGGTCCGAAACCACTACAATAAATAAAATTAAAAGAGACAGATCAAGTGATTGAACTTCAGATCTCAATGAGAGTTTTATTTAACTTTCCGTGTATTATACGTCTCCTCCATTCATATTAATTCAAGTAAGCAGAGGTGAGCCGAAATTTCAGGAAATCATTAGAGTTGAAAATATTTTGGTAAAGGCGAGAGAGAGATTATATATATATTCAGTTTAGATGGAGACAGTTGTGTATAATAGGAGTTTACTTTAAAAAATAAAACACAACAATTGGGTATACTTACCACATTTGGAAACAGTGAGCTAGTTTTGAATGAAATCAATAAGACTGTTATTCCAAAAGTTCCGGCAAATAGAATAACGGACAGGAAAAATACATCTCCATAATATTGTTTAGGATCGCAAACCCAGCTTCCACCGAATTCACTACAACCGGCTGGTGTCAATCCATTCCAGTTGATACTTATATTGCTGGTCGTAAAATTTTCTGTTCCTGTGCACGTATAGTTGGTAAAAGCACCATAGCCGAGGGCCCCGAGCGCTGTTGTGACGTTTTCATTACATGTACTGCTACATGAACAGTTGAAAGGGATGGGGTCATCGGGATTAAAGTTAACAGGATAATTCTTTTCTATCTCAAATAACTTCTTGAAGGCCTCCACAATAAATATCACTGCAATCAGTGTAGCAAAACTGTCTTCTGTGAATCGAGTGATATACTTGACGCAGGAGCTCAGGTTGAATACGACTATAATTAGAATGAATAGTACAGTCCACATTCCTACCCAGAATCTCGCCGGCATAAAATCCCAATCGTTATCTCTGCAATAAAAGATATATGTTAAACCATGCTAAAATCCTAACCGTTATCTCTGCAAGTAAAGACATTGTTAAATCATGCGATATAAAAAAAAACTAACATAAAATTTGTGTTTATTACATAAAAAAATCACACTTTTCATTAGATGGTGATATATACTTACTTGCATAAATTATAGATTATTGTTTCTAACACTAACATGGGACCTGTGCTTCCTAGAATATTCATTGGTTGTCCTCCAAATAAGGCGAACAAGACACCAGTAACAGCTGCTGCAAATATACACTCCATCACTCCCTAAAAAAATATATTTTCGTTTAGTACTGGTCTAATCTGCATAATGATTATTGTGTTGGCATTGGTTTATTTCAGTCGATACAAAGTAATATTATACAATTATAGCCTTTGTATGAGGTCGATACAAGGATATATTGACCGGAGAGAAGTATATTGACTGAGGACGAAGTCCGAGGTCGATATACTTCTTTGGGTCGATATATCCTGTATTGACCTCATCAATAGGCTATAATTGTTATATTATTAATTTCCGACCATATTTGTATCAAAATCCTGATTTGATTTTTTGATTTTGTTGGAATTTTATAGATATCATATTGTCTTCTAGACAATAACAACATATAAGTTGTTATTTCATTTCCTTTTTTTGTTTACATCTTATGTATATGAAGATTTTTTTTTTCTTCAAATAATCGATCATAGATATTTTTTTATAAAACTTTTAACAATATCATGAAATTCATAACATGATGTCACAAAGTATATCGGTTTTTTAGATATTCTAAAAATAACCGTGCAATATCCTTTTTGCTGTGCAATATGCTTTTTCTATCCGCCGTTTTCTCTCTACCTTCGAAAATATAGTTTAACATGTGACTATCTCTGAACGAATCAAATTAGTTAAAAAATACGAATTAATAATATAATGTCGTATTAAATTATATAACAAAAGTTGACTGATTTACGATATGTTTTTTTCTTTGAATGTGTAATGTCACTTTAACATAAAAATGACTTCTACATTATAACGTTGACAGATACATCATTTCCGTTTTACACAGAGCAGACGTTCATTTAAGAAAGTTCTGAATGAAAGAAATACTGCTGAATTTGAAAATTACATTTGAGACATATCTAAAACGGTAATCGAGTATAAAACCTTTTGGAATTTTGGGTCCTCAATGCTCTTCAACTTCGTACTTTATTTAGCCTGATAAGTCTTATGTAGACGTCTGGCGTATATGGTTTTAATCCTAGTATCTATGATGAGTTTATTTATAACAGATCATATTGTATTGTAGAGTTGTGTGAATATAGTGTCAGTATTAGAATGCAAACTATTTCTTGGAAGATATGAAATAAAAACTCACCATATACTGATCAGTAGCTTGACCAAGCAATCCACCAAATGTTACGTTTGGTGTCAATGTTCCAAGGAACACATAGACAAATGAAGCGAAACATTGGATATGTAAGGCATCTTTGAAGTCAGTGAGATAATGTGGAACCTTTCGTTTAATATCGTCTACTAAACCCTTGAATGGTCTGCAAATAGAACAAAACCCGTCACTGGCATGCTCCATCATTTACACAGCAATATTTTGCTGTCAATGTAATTTTAGCAGATAGACCAGCTTTAACTCTGATTTACATTCATTAAAGAATAAATGAGGGGCCTGATTGGGGGGGGGGGGGGTCTCATCACGATTCACGAGTTGATTTTTTTGTCAATCACGATTCACAGAAAATAAATTTCCATGATCACGGATCACGAAAATATAAAAAAAAAAAATCTGTAGAAAAACGGATTACGATAGGGAAAATGCGCCGATCACGAAGAACGAAAATAACCCATCAGGCCCCTCATAAATGATCGACAGTTGTACAAGATACATTTATTGAATGCTGTATTAAAGTGTTCAACGTCAATATACACAATCTTTTAAATTGTTCTTAAAATAAGTGCAAGCTTACATTTTTGAGCACGTGAGTGCCGGATCATCTATACTGTGTCCCACGTCTTCTACTGATAAAAGTTTCTCGAGGCACGGATTAATTGAATTCTTTCTAAAATTCTACAAAAGAAAAAAAATATTACTGTAATTCATGTTTCATCCAAAGTAATGTTTTCATTTGATGCGTTACATAATAATATGAATCGATTTTCAAAACAATAAGAAACATTCGGAAAATATATCTTAACTATGGACTGTATCACTAGCCAGTCTAAACTGAGGTTGTGAGTTCGAATCCCGCAGTGGCAGGTGCACTCGACTCCAATCTTGATTGACTAGGATTGTCAGTTTCCCTACCGATGGTCGGTGGTTCTCTCCGGGCATTCCGGCTTCCTCCACCAATAAAAACTGACCGCCATGAAACAGTACAATAGTGTTGAAAGTGGCGTTAATCACCAATCATTCAATCAATCATATGATAGAACTGAAATCATATATCAATTGACGTGATGACAAAACTACATGAAAAAAGAAAATACTATACCTGAGATGGAACTTTTGAAGGTGGTTCCAGACGAATTGTTGGATCCCATTCCCCAGGTGGTAGGACCGTTACTTGTTCCATGAACTCGTCAACACCAGCCAAGAACTCTTCTTTTTCTAGACACTTGTAAGCTAATTCCCGGAATATCTGCAATACAATATACAAAGATAGAATTTTTACGGGATATATAAAATTTTATATACACAGATGGAGTATCTAGAAAACAAGATGGAATTTCACGGAATGTCTAAAATACAATATACACAGATGGAATTTTCACGGAATATCTAAAATACAATATACACAGATGGAATTTGTACGGAATATCTAAACTTTGATACATACAAATAGAGTATCTAGAATACAATATACACAGATGGAATTTTTACGGAATGTCTAAAATACATTTTGAACAAATGGAATTTTCACAGAATGTCTAAAATAAAATTTACTTAATTGGAATTTTCAAAATGAGGAGCAACCACCGTTTTCAAATTCTTTAACATTGTACTGGTTTCGAATTCAGCCAAACCATTTAAACGAGGCATGATAGATAATGAAATGATTATGAAAAATAAACCATGAACTTAATACTGAAATCAGTCATAATAAAGAAATGAAAAAAAAAAAGAATCCTACCTCGTCAACCATCATAGTTGATATGCATCTTCCGAGTTCCATTAGCTGGGTCATGCTTCCTTTCGGTCCGAACATGAAACAAACGAAGCGTGACGGCAATGCTACTTCTGTTACATCACCAAGAAGCCGTGGCTCTTTTAGCCTCATAAAACCAACCAATCTCTTCTCAAGCTCTTCAACTTCTCCAACCATTATATTGGCAGCCTCGGCATCTTTTGGAAGCTTCCTCATAAAGTTCAGATTGGGCTAAAAATATTTTGCAGAATTAAACTTTATTCACGTATGTCAACATATTATCAATAGGTATAAGAAGATCTGGTATGAGTGCCAATGAGACAACTCTCCATCCAAGTCAGAAATTTGTAAAAGTAAACCATTATAGGTCAAAGTACGGCCTTCAACACGGAGCCTTGGCTCACACCGAACAGCAAGCTATAAAGGGCCCCAAAAATGACTAGTGTAAAACCATTCAAACAGGAAAACCAACGGTCTAATATATATAAAAAACGAGAAACGAGAAACATTTATGAACCACATCAACAAACGACAACCACTGAACATCAGGTTCCTGACTTAGGACAGGTGCAAACAAATGCAGCGGGTTTGAACGTTTTAATTGGCGCCAACCTTCACCCTACCTGAAACAATAGTGTAACATCACAACATAGAAAGACACACTATAAAATATCAATTGAAATATCAAGTCTTTATAACAATGTAGATGTATTGGATCTTTGAGTTACGAGAAAATAAATGTGCAATCGTAAGGATTGCAAAAAAAAGAAAATAATAAGTTGTGTTTTTTCATGATCCAGATATTTCTGTGAAAATTGTTTTCAATTTATAGTTTTAAGTAGATGTATTAGTAGAAAATATATCTAACCTTATAACTGGGACTAGTTGGGTCAAGTGAGAGATCTTGTGAACTTGGAGCACTCTGCAGTCCAGAACTATCCATACTTGCAAGACTTGCACTTGATGAAAGGTTGAAACCATATCCTCCCTTTTCTGCTTCCGCTGCATATATTATTAATAAATTTAGATAAAAAAAAACACTGTGGAACAAATGTAAGCGTCCATTTCCCAATTATTTTTATTCCATTTTCAACACCCAAATTTTCATTTCGGATAATCAATTATTGATTATATTTCGTATATCTATTTTCATTTTTCTCGTTCCACATCATGTTTCCCCGCTTCAGTTTTGTTGGTATATTACTACATAAATAGCTCATGTAAAGGAACAAGTCTAAACTTAAAATATTTTATTAATTAGACTATTAATGGATCGAACGTTAGTTACCATGAACATAGACAGCATACGAAAGCATAGTGGATACTGAATTTCATTAAAGTTAAGGAAAACATGCCATAAATGGCAGGTTTTTACTTTTATAATGAACTAGTTTTTTTTTCAAAATGGTTATTAAACTGAAAGATAGAGTAATTGTTTTCATACATTTCTCATCAGAAATATCGGACAGAGTTCTGCTTCCTTTAGACGCCTTAGAACGCTTTACATGGCTGTGTTTATGTCCTGCCAACATTATATCCCTAAGATGTGGGCGTAACCTTGTGTCCATATCATTCTGATCCTGCCATTCTTCAAGGAGCTTGTCTGTAGTTCAAATAAAAAGAAAACAAAGTTAACATATATTAAGATAGAATTTTTGTTTTAAATACGTACAAAGTGACTTAATCTTTTCGTTCAGACTAAAACACATATATGATTATATTTCTTTAATGGATAGGACAAAGGCATTCATGACTAGTACATTGTATTTGTGATTGAACTTTTAGATAAATTCATTTATAGAAATGCATATTTCAACCATTACTGAAATCTAGTTTAAAGTTCCTCCTGATCTTAGATAGGATAGGCAGGTAGGAAATCTTTTTTATTTTGCTATTTTTTTTTAACCTTCAGAAGACCTTCAATTTGGGCTCGATTCACTACCAAAAGTACCAATTAAACTTAAAACAATTATGGTAGACATGGTAAAGAGTTTAAAAAAAGCGTAGGTAATGAAACCCTTAACACGCGTAAGTTTTATTTTGGTGTAAATAGTACCTTACCATTGACATTAGATAGCGAATGGGCATCATGGTCTAGTGAAACAACGCCTTCTACGAAAGCACATCGCAGTTCAAACAGCGAGTGCATAGACAAAGAGGCAACATGAGGCTTGGACCAGCGTTTTCCTCCTTCATCCAAATTTTCTTCATATTTAACCCACCTGTTTCAAAATAAAACTGACGTTAAACTTGGTACCAAAATGAAAAAAATAGGGAAACAATATTCCTTTTAACGGATTTAATAGATATAAGAAGATGTGGTATGAGTGCCAATGAGACAACTCTCCATCCAAAGTCCCAATTTGTAAAAGTAAACCATTATAGGTCAAAGTACGGCCTTCAACACCGAACAGCAAGCTATAAAGGGCCCCAAAAAGAATAGTGTAAAACCATTCAAACAGGAAAACCAACGGTTTTAGTTTATTATAAAACGGTAAATACATGCAAAAACATTTAACTGCCAAGTGCTTCAATTGAATAGATATGGTTATAGCTTTATATGTGCTATCTCAGTGACGGTAGCTTATAAGTAATTAAGAATCAAAAATCTTTATCTATTAAAATGTATGTAGATAGTTCATTCACTATTCTAATCAAATCAACAATTAATCAACCATCAATCTAAAATATAATAACAATGGAATTAATTGATAAAAAGTTAAACAAAGTATGATATGTAATTAAATGACGCTTTAAATAACATGTAAAGTGAAATGCATCAATCAACTTGTGGTTCGTTTGAATTCTATAGAATTCAGTTCTTCATTGGTTAAAATTCAATTATGGCGTCAAATTCTTACCTTCCTCTGAATTTCTTATTGTAACGTGACAAAAAAGGCGACTTTGCCTGATGATGTTACATAAAAAGAACACACCTGTTTGCATATCATTGGAAAAGAAGACTTGTTATCTGCATATCGTCTAAAAATCATTAGAGAAACAGATTATATCACCAGATTTCGTGCCAAAGGATAGTTCTCCACTCTCAACAGTTATATTTTAAATATTCAAAATGCTTTGCAAGCCTCGCGTTTTAAAGTGAACATTTCAACGGTCTCGAGTGGAGACATATCGTATCACACTCTTTGCAGTGGTAGAATCTATAATTAACCTTGCCGATCATTTCTTTTCAAATTGGTCCTACCTTGTTGATTCCTTCCGTTTAAATGGGTTTAAAACTTTTAGTTTAATCTTGTCTATTCCTCTCACTCAAATTGATCTAAGCATCAAATGTTTACCTGAACGTTTCCTTCCCTTCAAATTGGTAAAAAAAAAATTAGTTTGACCTTGCCGATTCCTTCTATTAAAATTGATCTAATATATTAGTTTTACTATTGGCAAACTCCTTCCATTCAATTTGGTCTTAAATTTTTATTTTTACCTCGCCGATTCCTTCCATTCAAAGTTTTCATTATGTTTCCGAAGGACATCTAATTCACAGAAGACGCTGTGAGCTTTATGCGAAACACCTCTTCTATTATTGTTGATTATTCTCTGAACCCAGTCCGTAGGATTATATTCAAAAGGTTGTTCATGTAAGGTGTTTCCTAAAACAATCAATCAAATTAAATAACTGATAAACTGTTGACACAGAGATATGTTTCGCCTATCGGCATAAAATTCAGAAAAAGACAATCTGATGGACAGCAACATTGCTTATTAATTCAGTCACTGGACCATGATCTAGTGGGCAGGGCCTGAAAATGGTCGACAAACTGAGATGTACAGACAGTAATGTAACTTTATAGAAAATATCGTTGTTTATTGCAAGTAGTTCCTATCAATATAACTTAAAAAGATGAACATTGCTAATTAATTCAAAGTCACTGGACCATGACAAAGGGGACAGGGCCTCAAAATAGTTGTCAAACTGATATGAAAAGATAGTAATGCAACTTCATACAAAACGTCATTGATCTATCACAAGTAGATCCTATCAAACTAACTAAAGCAGAATACTTAACATTGAAAATTGCTAATTAATTCAACGTCACTGGACCATGTCCTAGGGGGCAGGGCCTCAAAATAGTCTTCAAACTGATATGTACTGATAATAATGCGACTTCAAACAAAATATCATTAATCTATCACAAGTAGATCCTATCAAACTAACTTAAGCAGAAAACATATCATTGAAAATTCCTAATTAATTCAAAGTTACTGGGCCATGTCCTAGGGGGCAGGGCCTCAAAATTGTCGCCAAAATAATATGTACTGATAGTAATGCGACTTCATACAAAATATTATTGATCTATAACAAGTAGATCCTATCAAACTAACTTGAGCAGAAAGTGAAAGACAAAAATACAAAAAATGACCATAGCACAATAACACAATGGCGTGATGTATAAGTACAGAGCCACTCCAAAAGGATATTACCAAAAATGGACCAACCAGTAAAGATTGATAATTTACAAAGACAAATTAAAGAACACTATAACACGTAAGTCAGATGATAAACAACGTCAGTACCTAGCATCCGTATACTTCAAGACCATCATGTATTATTTGTGAAGCTGATACAGGATATTCATCAACAAGGCCTGTGGTATCTTCCGATGAACTTTTTTTTAGAAAAACGGACGAGACGTTCTTTGACATAACCCTGGTTCATCAACTTTCTGCTCAGACACTGGTGACGTTTTATAAAGTCTGAGTAGCAGCTGCAAGCTGTTGAATACCGAATAAGTTGGGAAATGTATATCCCATATGCTGGTGAAGTTGGTATATTGCTACTAAGGTGGGGGTAATTGATAATTTCAAAATTAAAATCGTCTCGTTTGTCATAGATTCTGCTGAGATGACCGCTTATGTCAAATTCGATGTTTAAGTCTAAAAATGAGGCAGAGGAAGCCGTGTCTGTTGTTTCTTTAGTTTCTAGTTCTGGAGGATATATTAATGGAACCCAATTAGAAAAGTTTGGATTGTTAATGGAAAGAACATCATCAATATATCTGAATGTGAAATTAAATGATCTGGCTTCTTTGATCTTCTTGTTTTTGACAAGTGTCCGACTGAACTCCGACTTATATGAAAATAAGAAGAGGTCTACAAAGAGAGGCGCACAGTTTGTTCCCATAGGAATGCCGACAATTTGTTGGAAAAGTCTACCTCCAAATTCAACAAATATTTTGTCAATAAGAAACTCCACCATACTGATCACTTGTTGTTTACCTTTTTGTTCACTATTAACAAAATATGCCGAATGGTATCCTAAAGCAATAAATTTATAGCGTATGCTACCATTTTTATATTGAAAAGCATTGTGGATTATTTCTTTTAGACGATTTTTAAATTTCACATGGGGAATGGTAGTATACAGGGTTGAAAAATCAAAAGTTTTGATAGAATTTATTTCAGAGAAAGATCGAGATTTAAAATTATCCAGAAGTTCTTTAGAGTTTCTTAGAATCCACATATGGTTAATACCACTACGCGAGTAAACAGTTTCACAGTATTTCTGAAGACCCATTTTCACTGCGGACAGAATTATTTTTCAATCTAATATAATTCCTTTGTAGAACATGCAGATGAGCCGTCAATGTACCGTTGTTTCTATGGAATTTTGTGAAGCTCAGGTATCCAATACAAACAAGATAAGTCCTCAGATTTGTTGTTCAATGTAATGTTCATTGAAGCCATAAAGGTCTTATGATTCGCCAAAATCTCATTCTTGTCAAATGATATGTTTTTGTATGTGGGATTACCTGAGTGCTCATTTATTCCTAATTCTTTTACAAGACACTAGTAGTAGTACGATTTACAAACAACGACAATATTATCTGAAGCTTTGTCCGCAGGAACAACAACATATTTATCGTGAAAGAGATTGAAAATAAATGATCGTACGGCAAAACCACGAAAAAAATATTTTTGAAGATCAGAAATTTCTAATAAACAGATTGTAATTCTAAAGAAATTTCAATTTACCTCTGAAGGGTATAGAAGTCATCTATGTAAACAGAAAGTAGATGTGGTATGATTTTAGGTCTTTTTTTACTGTGTTATCCACCTTTAATTAGTTTGTTTTTTCTTATGGTAAAGGCAGTCTTTCATTTTTTTAACCTTGCCAATTATACAATTCCTCGTTAGCTTTACTCATCCAAACATTTCAAAACTTTTCTGACTACTTCAAAGCATTGAAGCAGAAAGACATTGTAGGAACAGTGGCAGTAGGAAGACAGGGCATTGGTACATCGAAAACTGCTACTGGAAAAACGCTAACACTCAAGAGAGACGAAGTCTAGTTCAAAGAGAGAAAAATCTAGAGAAGAAGAAAACAGACAAGCAAAGACAGTACAATTAGGGAGCCAAGGTGCTTGGTCAAGGTCAAGATGGGAATTAGAACAACGATCCCTTACATGGTCAGAAATATGGCAATATCCTCAATTCCAACTTCAGTTCCTTCTTCGATCAATGTATGATGTGTTACCAACACCTACAAATCTGCACAGGCGGAACCTGTCAGAAACACCAGACTGTCTCTTGTACAGAAACAGAGGAACTCTACAACATGTACTTTCAGAATGCAATATCGCTCTAACACAGGGGAGATATACATTGCGACACAATCAAGTACTCCGGAAACTGGCTGTAGTGATAGAAAAACAGAAGAAAGAAGCAAAACAAATAAGAAACAAACCTATCAAGATCCAGTTTGTGAAGGAGGGGGAACTATTTGAGAAAAGTAAACAAAACACGTCAGGAATGATAAACCAGGCAAGAGACTGGCAGCTAGAAGTAGATATAGGAAAGAAGCTGAAATTTCCTGATATTGTACCAACAAACCTAAGACCCGACATACATGTAGTTCTCTGGTCTTCAGGCAGTAAGAAAGTAGCAATTATCGAGCTGACGGATCCCTGGGAGGAGAGATGTGGTGAAGACAATGAAAGAAAGAGGATAAAGTATGATTGACTGTTGGCAGAGTGCAGAGATAGAGGATGGTAGACATGGAACTTTCCTGTTGAGGTTGGCTGCTGAGGCTTCCCTGCACAGTCAGTGTGAAGGTTGTTTTCTGCAGTAGGAGTTACTGACCGACATAGAAGAGCAGCTATTCAGAAAATGAGCCAAGCAGCAGAGAAAGCGTCTGGCTGGATATGGATGAAGAGAGACAGTAGTAGCTGGAAACCCACCACCAATGCGCAGTGATTGATCACCACTGTGGACCCCCTGGCATTCTGCGAGTTTACCGAGCTAGGGGTCGAAACACATGGTGATTGATGGCCTAGGCTGAGGACATTGATGTTGTTTGCAGTAATTCCACCATTACTGTATGTAAGTAACTTAATAACAAAATTATTCAGGTAAAAACGTCAGCTCAGACCTTGAATCACAAATAATATGAATTAAAAAAAGAACAACTTATATACAAAGGTATTATAATAGGTATTATATAACAGGGGTTTAGGACGACCCTGCTATAACAAATGTTCTGGGGAGTAGCTCACAGTATAAGTAAATAAAACATCAATTCGGATACCAACTAATATATTAATTCAATTTCAAATACAGTCACAATTATTGTTAAACACAGTATAAATCATACATGTAAATACACGGCAAAGTCCAGTATCTATGTTTTGTTCACTACGGGTTTCCGTATACGTATAATATCAACGTCCATGCCTTAGTCTGTCGGGTTCCCAACTAAAAGTCACACTAAATCTTAATTGTACTATCTACTACATGTAATATTACATCATTAGCTGTACACCGACAAAATGCAAAAGCACCCTAAGTGTTAAGATAATAAACTTACCGCTAAAGTATTTAGACAATGGACAATGACAAACGGATTATACGTAATGTCAAAAACGGTGTAATTAGCACATACATGTAGTTAAAGTCTTTTAAAATTAAAATGACTGACATGAAAGAAAACAGAAGAGTTGTCTGAAAGATAAATTAAATGAAATAAATGAATCTAAAAGTTTCTATATTTTCACACTAAAAGTAAATGGAAAATATCACTGTCACAAATATCTGAATATAACTGTAGAATTCGCTTTGGTGTTTTCTAATCGATAATTAGAGAGATAGATGTTGGGTTTTAGTGTCCGGCTATCTGGGTGGATATTGCAGACTTCATGGACCTATTCTTGCAGTGAAGGATCAGCTGTTGCTCTTTTCCCTTTTTTCTTGCTCCGACCTGGTGGTTGAGTTTGGTACGGATCGTCTGGCCGTTCTTGTAAGGCAAAGGCAATTTGAATGGCCTCTGGATCTGGCATGGTTATCGGAGATGTATGGTGTACGAAGTAGGTCGGGGCCATCGATGTCAAACCCCTCTGTAAAACCTATCCTAAAACGCTTACTTTTAGGTTTGGATGGAGTATAGAAGTATACTCAGGGGGTTGTATGAACTGGTGACAATGTCCGTCTTGATGTTGACACCCTCTGGTTCTCCACGATACTTTGTTGGTATGAGTGGTATACCAATAACTGTGTCCCTTGCTTGCGTCTGACAGATGTTGTCTACGTTTGTACTGGTGGTAGGTTCAGGGGTAGCAGCTGAAGAAACGGCTTTTTTTGGAGTCCATCCACTGGGTGAAACGCTGAACATTTCGTCTCATGGTAGATAGAGTCTTATGTTTCCTTTGTAGGGCCGACTTAGGGTTCCTCGATGTGGTGGCTGGGTCCTTGGCCTTGATCCAGGTGAGTTGGTTTGTAACCTGGTTAGAACTAGCAGTAAATTTCCGATAATTAGAAAATGGAGCTAGCAGAAATATTTACAGGTATAAACCCGAATTACCTCTTATTACGCAAGGAAAAGTAAAAATAAACAAGAATTATTGATATCTACGGACTATTTTTTATTACTACACTGCTTGGGAATTACATGTGATCCCTATTCTTTAAGGAATTGAAATCCCTGATTACACTTTATTCCTATAACTTATATAGGATTTATCAGTGTTATTTGTATGTTGTTTGTCACGAGCTGTATACTTATGGTCTGGGGACACAATAACATCAAACAGAGTCCCTAGTGTGGACAGTGTATTGTATTTTGTTTGTCACGAGCTGTATACTTATGGTCTGGGGACACAATAACATCAAACAGAGTCCCTAGTGCGGACAGTGTATTGTCTTTTGTTTGTCACGAGCTGTATACTTATGGTCTGGGGACACAATAACATCAAAAAGAGTCCCTAGTGTGGACAGTGTATAGTCACGAAATAGAAGTTCCTTCATAATATAAGTTCCAAGTGGAAGAAATATTCTGTAACATTATTTCCACTGGAACAAATATTACAGTACAGTATTTGTTCCCAACGGAATAAAGGGTATAGAATATTTGTTCCCAACGGAATAAAGGGTATAGAATATTTGTTCCAACTGGAACAGATATTATGGCATTGTTTATAACAAATGTTCCAGGGAACTTCTGTTAGGCGGAACAAATAAACGTTGACACTTTAACTTGCATTTTTTTTTCATACGCCTTCCAAATTCATTTCTTTATATTTTATGCATAAAATAGTAAGTAGGGGAATGAAATTACATGCCAAAAAATTTGGGAGATGAATTTTTAGGTAAAGTAGTGATTTGGTCCAGTTTGAAAAGGTCAAATATTGGTATGTCTGAAGCTGCCAAACTGAATTAGAGATCCTCTTAACATAGAATTGTCCATATAATGAGTTAGAGCCGATAGACTTTTCTATGATTTTTATATGATTTGTCCAAAACGTATCTTCAGATCATATGTTTTCGTACGTCATATGAATTCGTACTATGCATGCTTTTTCAATGGAAATTGTGACGTCACATTGCATTCTAAATAGTACAAAAACCCACAATACGAGGATAGTACACTACACTGTAAAAATCTTGTTTTTGGATAGAGCTGGTGCGATCTTTTTTTAATTTGCTTTTTTGTCTAAAAGAAATGCTTTTCGAAATAACTGTGTTCTCGGGCATTATGGCTTAGGACAATAATGATTATTATTTGCTGGATATGGGAGACAATTTTTAATGTCCGTGCATCTGGAAAAAATTTAAGGCATAGCATTTTATGTTTCAGAAAATTAAAAAACTTAACTGAATTTTGCTGTCCACTTTTTTCATTCCTGCAATAGGTGCCAAAATAAACAAAGTTGAAAAAAATTTTGAGAACTCCCCCTATTGTAATAATCAAAGTGAACTGTATTTATTGACAATAGATATCTGACAACAATAGGAGATTTAAATTGTGTACCTGAGTGGACCATATCAGTTGAAACTCCAGTGTTCGTTTATTTTATCAATTTCTGCAGGACTAAGAAAAAGTGTACAGCAAAATCCAGTTAAAATTAAGTTTTTAATTTTCTGAAACATAGAATGCAGATGAATTTTATATATCTAGGGCATGCTATGCCTTAAAAAGTTTCAGATGCACGGATTTGTCTGCACTCAGAGTAAATTTTGCGGTGAAAACAGCCATTTTAGATCATTTTAGCCAAAGGGTCCTAATGAACCTTAAATCCCAGTTACTTATCAATGCTAAATAATAATGTTGTTCAACACTACACCTTAAGATCTGTCTCTAATAACGATCTATTTGTTCCAAGACCAAATACTAATTCTTATAAAAAATCTTTTCATTCTTCTGAAACCAAGGTATGGAATAATTTACCATTCACAATAAAAAATTGTCGTAATGTGGAATTATTCAAGAAACATTGTTCCAATCATTTTCTTGAAAATTTCTATGCAAGATATATATATATATATATATAGATAGATAATTCAGCTGATCTGTAATATTCCATCTTCATGCCTTATATATCATGTACTGTGTTACGACGCTAGATTAAAACTGCCCAGTGACGAGGAAAGGTAACACCCGGCAACCGAAAGCTTGATTTTTGTCGAGCCTAGGTGGTCGAGTGGTCTAGCACATCGGGCATAGTGCAAGGCGTTATCCAAGTAACATGAGTTCGAACCCCGGCAAGGGAAGAACAAAAAAAATTT